CTTGGTAAAGGCATTTTTAAAAAGGACTATAGCTTCTGCAATTTGGAAACAAAAGCAGAGCATAAAAAGGGATAATTTGTGATAATAAAAACATAAAAGGGGTGAGGGAAAAGAACTGTACTTACATAGGTGAACGGAGATAAGATGCGATCAAAGAAAAGGGACTCTTGGGCCGGCCAAGTGGCACGTTGGTTAAGAACTGGCTTGGGATGCCAGAGGGCCCCGTTTCGGATCCCACATATGAGGGCCAATGACACTGCCCTCTGCAGCTAAGATGGTGAACGGCAGCTCAACCTGGGGCTGGGCTGCTGTGGGTATCCAGCGACGGCATAGGCTGCAGTCCCCTGCTGCAGTGGGCTGCCATAAGCTACCGTGTGTAGCCGGCAGCCAGCGTGAGCGGCCAGCAGCCACAGTGAGTGGCCGTCCAGAAGCTAGCGACTGATCTGCCTTGCCTGGGAAGAGCGCAATGATGGTGCCAACTTAGGACAGTGAAGCAATATCCTCTACAACTAGACTGAAGAACAAAGCAACAGCAATTTGTCTTTTCCCCTTTCCCCGATTCCCCAGCGCTGTTCTCCTCCCCCAATTCTCCAATAAAATCTTTAAAAAAAAAAAAAAGAAAAAGAAAAAGGACTCTTGTATATATGAAACTTTTTTTTTTGCATAAAACTAACGGTAACTGCAAAACAAAAATCCAGAACTGAGACACATACGTAAAAAAAAAAAAAAAAGAATAAACAGATGAAAAAAATCATAAAATACCACCAAACTAAAACAGCAGACAGAAACACAAGGGCAAAGAAACAATGGAGACACAGAGCAACCAGAGGACAGAAGATAAAATGGCTGTAGGAAGTCCTCATATATCAATAATTACCCTGATTTATATGACAATATCAAGATATCTAGCAATAGTGTCTGTGAAAACAATAATTTATAGTATATGACACCATACAATGTTTGAAGTTGAATGTAAAAATTATGGTTCATTTTCAAATTTAAGTATTGCTTTATAAATTTTATTTAAAATCCAGTTTCTCTTGCTTCATTCCCACAAAATTTCTCCTAATTGACATTAATAAAAATTATTTAAGAACCACAACGACCCAATAAAGGTTGTCTAACTTGGCATTACTATCTTTAGAACACAAATGATGTGATATCTTGGTGACAACATCATAGAAGTTTTGCTGAAATTAAGTACAAACAGAAACTTTTATGGAATAAATATATTATCATTTATGAATTGTGTATTTTTATTAGTCATTCAGACATCAGTAGCCTATCAACAGAACACCCAGACAAGCTCAATCTTAATTATGGTTGGTTGTCCTGATATTCTGCTGACTCTTGGTCCCATTAAAAACCATAACTTTACACATTCTTTTTAAGAAACAAAGATTATTCTTTCACTGAGGACTAATTATTTTTTCCTAGATAAAAGTACAGGTTTAAAAAGTTTAAAATGTTTCTATGGATTAATATCAATAAAGAGGATCTAATCGTAAAGTTGTTCTTTACTTGCTACACTTCATGTATAACCAGAAACTAATGTAAAGCAAAAACCAATTGCAAAGAAAAAGATATTTTGAAATAACAAGATGCTTTTTTATTATAATTAAGAAAGCTGGTGGTGGGCCGGCCAAGTGGTGCGTTGGTTAAGAGCTGCCTTGGGATGCCATAGGGCCCTGGTTCTGATCCCACATATGAGGGCCAGTGACACTGCCCTCTACAGCTAAGATGCTGAACAACAGCTCAACCTGGAGCTGGGCTGTCCTGAGTCTCAGGCAACCGCATTGGCTGCAGCCCCTTCTGCAGTGGGTTGCCATGGGCTACCGTGTGTAGCCAGCAACCAGCGTGAGTGGCCAGCAGCTGCTGTGAGCAGCCATCCAGAAGCCGGCGACTGATCTGCCTCGCCCGGGAAGAGCGCAATGATGGTGCCAGCTTGGGCCAGTGAAGCCACGTCCTCCACAACTAGACTGAAGGACAAAAGGACAGCAACTTGTCTGTTCCCCTTCCCCCAATTCCCCAGTACTGTTCCCATCCCCCAATTCCCCAATTAAAAAAAAAATCTTAAAAAAGAAAAAAGAAAGCTGGTGGTTTCAATACAAAACCCGCTGATTAGGGTAGTAAGTAGGTACTTCAAAATCATAATATACAGGTAACATCATAGAAATCTTTTCATATTTTGGTGTTAAATCATCGCTACTAGAATTAAAAATTACTGAATTATTTTCTATTTATAATGTATGTTTGACATATCTGATAACACTAAATTCACTTTCATTTCAAATAATAAAAGAAATATTTCCCATTCCAGTGGAACTCAATGTTTTATTTTTATTTTGAAATAATTTCAAAATCACAAATTGGTTTAAGAACAGTACAAAGAATTTCCATATACCCTTCTCCCAGATTATCCATTGTTAACATTTTAATACATTTGCTTTGTTTTCTTTCCTTTTACACACACTTATGTAACTTTTATCTGAGTCATTTGTTGAGAGTAAGTTGCAGAAATAATACCCATTTCTCCAAAATAATTCAGAGTGTATTACAGAGCAATCTCATACATAACCATAGTGCATCTATCAAAATAAAATTAACATTAATCTATTACTACCATCTAATCTACAGACTCCATTTAGATTTCACTGATTGTTCTGAAAATGTCCTTTATACAAAAGAAATAAAAAGCCTTCCTTTTTCTCTTTTTCCTTTCTTGTACAGGATGCAATCTAAGATCACACATTGCATACAGTTGTCATGTCACTTTGGTCTCTTTCAATCTGGAGTATTTCTTTAGTCTTTGCTTATCTATCACGATTTTGCCATAAATACAAACCAATTACTTTGTAGAATGTCCCTCAATTTGGATTTGTTTGCAGTTTCATCATGTATCAGATTAGATAGTTAGATTACATAATTAGATTAGATTAGATTAGATAAATTTTGCAAAGTGTTTCTGTGTTCTTCTCAGTATATCTCATGAGAAACATAAAGTTGACTTGTCCCATTCCTGGTGACTTTTAACTTTTACCACTTGAACAAGGTTAGTTGGTCAAGGGTGCTGGACAAATTCTCCCTGGCTCCTGGTGTCACCAATTGCACCGGCTGAGCCAGCCATACTAGCCACAAACCCCGAGCTGAAACCAAGGAGAATAGGTACATACATTTTTAATTTTGTTGTTATAAATATTTATGAGCTAAGAATTAGCAGGTAAAGGAGAAGAAAACATATTTAATTCAACAATATGTTAGCTTGCTTCATAACTTCTAAATATTCAGATGAATGGTATGTGGGTCTTCATACGAGTATGTATGCTTGCCCTAAAACATGTAAAATTTAGGGGTGGGCCTATTTCCATACACACTTTCCTTCCTGATGCTTCCAACGCCAATGTGAGCAGTGCCTGACCAAGATATGTGGCACCTTTCATAGACTAATAACTTAATGAACTACCAAGATAAAGGTTTTTAACTTAAGTATTTTCTGTAAAAACAAATGGTATGCTTCTTTCTTTACATTTCCAAAAGCCCCTCAACAAAGATAGAACCACACTTGCTTGTGAGAATTGTTTTAATATTTCTTCTTGAGGGTTCTGTGGATATTGGCCAGAGTGGATTCAATCTACATTTTTCTGGTTATATAAGGATTTACAAATTGAAACCAGAATAAATGGGCATCTTAATTCTGATTTATTCTAGTGGCAGTTTTTTGGAACCACTTAGCCTAGTCATCTTGTTTGGCAGATCCTTCTCCCAGTTCTGACAGGGAGCAGTTCACACACTGATTCTTTTCTGCTAGATTAAACTCATGCATTTCCCATCTTGGGAAACCCATTTCCCAAGAGTAGGCTTATCATTGGGGATGGGCATACAGAGTTAAAATTCATTCTGAGGATGCCAATATTTTAAACTGCTGTGCTGGTAAGTAGCTTGCTTTCTTTTCCTAGTAGAGTCAGTTAATTCCATGACTGGGCAAAACAGTATTTGTTTTGTACTTTCCTGAGACCTCTTGAATTGATTAAAATTGAGGCCAAATTTAAAATGCAGATTCCCAGTCCCCAAACCAGCAAGTCTGATTCAGTAGAGGAGGCTATTCATATATTTTCATTTTAATCAGTACCCAAATAACTCCCATGCAATAGCCCAAAGACCACCCTTGAAATACTGTTAGGTGAGGGAATACTTTCTCTTGAGGTGTTTTTTTGTTAGTTTGTCTATTTGATTGGTTCTCCTCAATCTCCATGTGTAGAATAGGAAAATGACGTATTTCACAGTTACAATTAGTTTTAAAAGAATTTTAAAAAGGACTTAAACTTGTTGAAAAGCGTTAAGCCGACTAGATCAGAGCGATGGAAGGAGGCAAAAGGAATGAGGTGGTCAGGGACCAGGGAAGAAGATGGGGGTAAAGAAGCAGGAAGGAGAGAGCAGTCTTCTTACCATTTCACAAATACCAAGCACTTACTGAATGTCAGCATCGTGTTAGGTAGTGGAGATTCAAAGGTGACCTTGCAGCAGGACCCAACCTCAGGGAGTTTACAATCTAGAGTGGGTAGAAGCAGGCACGAAGGTACTGTGGGAAGGCAGAAAAAGGGGCTCCTAAGCCAGGCTTGAAGCACTAAGGCAAGGCTTCCTGGGGTGGACCCTACGTTCTGGACCAGGATGAGTAGTCCAGGGGGTAGAGTCCTGGAGGGGGCAAAAGAGCTCCAGAATAAATTCATTCTATTTAACTTTTGAACTTTTTCCTGCTTACAAAAGTAATATATGTTTGTTATGAAAATACTTCCTAGCATAGGAAAGTGGAAGTCTCCTATACGTAATCCTCCCTGCTCTTCCTCACGGTCCATACCTGTCGGATTATTGAGGACTTGTTGCGGCAAGAAGAGATCTGGCATGGGTCCTCCTATCAGCAGGGGGCGGCATGCCGCACGCCAGACGGCCGGCGTATCTCTCTTTCACACGTCGCTCGCGTGATCGCCGGCGCTACATACTGCGCCTGCGCATAGGCTACGGCCTTTTCTTTCCCGGAGCTGAGCTGGGGCTGTAGGTCTGTGGCGAGCCGCGGACGCTGGTCTCTGTTCAGCGGGATGGTGAGTGGGTATCCCGGTTCTCGAGACTACAGATGGATGGGGTTTCCCTCTCCTTGCTCTAATGCTAGCCTAGGGTCAGTCTCGCATGGCGCTGGAGTCGGATGGCGTTAGATTGCTGGCTCTGCCCTGGTCGGACTGCCGCTCCTAGCGTGCTCTTAATGGCTGCCGCCCGGCGCGCAAGCTTGAGACGAAGGGGGTTGAAGAAGAGCAGGAGCTGGGGTGGCGGGTTGAGGAGGAGGCTGAGTTTAGTGGACAAGCTGCGGGGATATTGCCGGCTCGTTCGAGGGGGCCCCGGTAGGCGGCTGGGCAGGCGAGATTGCATCAGTCGGTCTCATATTAGCTAGGGGATGCCTGAGTGGAGACGGGCTGCACCTTCTCGGACCCACTTCCACCCATGACTGCTTCGTGGGCTTTCTGGAAGAGGGTTGCGGTCAGCGGGTGTGTCAGAAAGCTTGTGTTGGTCTGAAGAAGTCACTTTTAAGCCAAAACCGTCGGTAGAGTTTGGAGGCTGTGGCGTCTCTGGGCCCGGAAAGGAAGCTCATTTAGTGTTTGGTATGCGCCTCCTGCCTCTTTAGATTGTCGCTGGCACCGGTTTTTAGTGATTCTTGGGGTGGGGTGTTGCTTAGTTGGTTTGGGACAGTGCAGTTTTAATCGGGAGTAATTGCTGAAAGTGACTTTGGCCCAGTTCAGTTTTGTGGCAGGTTAACTTAGGTTTTTTGAAAAACGTCCGTCCTGGAAAGTTAGGGAAATAGGAGGTTAGTTTCTCGAAATGGGGTAGTATTCAGAACAGATGGACGTTTGGCAGGATTGAGTGCTGTCTGGAGCAAGGCTTTGCAAAAGTTTGGCACAAGGATTGGTGTTGGTCCTCGAGGGAACAGGTACAAAAGTTGAGAGTAAGCATTTAAAAATTTACAAACGATGACAATTTCGGAAAATATAAGAAATTAGCCTGTTTTGTATCTTTGTTCATTTCCGTTTTTCCCCAGTGATTTGTTTTTTTGTTTTTGTTATCAGCCTTCACAGAGGGAAAGTAGGAGAAAAAGTGATCCCTTGACCCCAGATGGTTTGAGAAACACTGGACTCTCCAAAAGTGACAGCTTTCTATAGATTGATTTCTGAAGTTCAAATGATATTTGTTACAGCCCAAATGTCAGAAGTATCATAAGCTAAAAAACACTTATCAAAGTTTTGATAACATTTTTTTTTCTTAAAGGGATTTGTTAAGGTTGTGAAGAATAAGGCCTACTTCAAAAGATACCAAGTGAAATTTAGAAGACGTCGTGAGGGTAAAACTGATTACTATGCCAGGAAACGCTTGGTAATCCAGGATAAAAATAAGTACAACACACCCAAATATAGGATGATTGTTCGTGTAACCAACAGAGATATCATTTGTCAGGTAAGTTGCATTCTAGACTCAAGCAATGATGGTAAACCCCACCTCCCTTAACTCACCTTGGGAGAGAAGTTGTACTTGGGAAACAAAACACAGTATGGATTAGAAGGTGCATCAGTTGTAGTGCCTGGCACTCAGAAACATCCATTGAGTGAGTAGTTCTTTTCTTTTTTGTGGGTCTTAAATTGGAGCCTGGGAAATTGGTACTTCAAAAAAATACTCTGAAGATCAGCCGTGTTTAGCAATCTTGACCCAGTTTAATACCATTCGTTTTCTAATTGGGGGGAAAGCGGATTAGAGAAATGTATGGTACTATGCTATTTTGTGGGGGTGGGTGGAGTGGGAGGCTAAGTTTGAAAGCAAGTAGAAGGTTCTTACCCATTCCAATTCCAGTAGAATAATAGAATCTGTCATGGACTAAGTCCTGACTTGCTATATGGTCTTACATATTACATATCCACTGCTCTTTGAAGAGGTTGGTAGTTTTGTGAAGGTTAAATTAGGATTGTTCTTATTCCTGCTTATTGTTGAAATAGTTATTAATTACGTATGAAAGTCTCCCACATAAAACCTCCAGAAAGTGGCAGTTTGTTTCTAGAAGACAATTTTCTGGGCTTTTACAAGTAGGGAAAATTTTTATACTTGAGATTTGCTGGGCCTTTGCAAGAGGCAGGCATACCTGTTTTGTGGACAGATTTGTTGGTTGTGAAGGCAGTGTCTTCCATACCTGAGTTCAGATAACTGAACACTGGGTTGTCTGAAACATCGGACTTAAATATGCTTAGTTCAGAAGATGTTTGAAATAATTGGGGATTCCTTTGACTTTTCAAAGTACCTCTTTAGTTCAACAGCTACTCCAGCTGAGAGTCTTCAATATTTAGAAGTAAGGAGCTACAGTATGTTTATTCCAAAGGCATTTTAATATTCAATGTCTATGCTGATTTTAGCTTTACATACTGTGTCATCAGTCAAACATTTACAGACTCAAATTTACCTGCTGTAGTTTACCAAGACATAAGCTAGTTGGAGGTGAGTGGGTTTACCAAAGACAAATTTTAAGTGATGCAGATCTATGTCTATTTTTTTAAGACCTTTGAACAAGAATGCACTTAAAACAAATAAACAGTGAAAGCAGATTACTAACCTGGTTTTCCTCTTATTATAGATTGCGTATGCCCGTATAGAAGGAGATATGATAGTTTGTGCAGCTTATGCTCATGAACTCCCAAAATACGGTGTGAAGGTTGGCCTGACAAATTATGCTGCAGCATATTGTACTGGCCTGCTGTTGGCCCGCAGGGTACGTACAGGATTACTGTAATTGATGTATTTTGGAATTAGCTTAGTTCATTGTTTGGTGTTGCCTGCAAGATATATGTTGACACAAGCATGAGATACCCTGTGTTGAATCGAGAGTGCCTGTGGCACTCATTAGGAATCATCAGGAAAGATGATTTTATAAATATATGGTTTGATTGAGATGGCAGTACATTTTCTAATAATTTTGGGAAACAGCTGTTTTTCTGTTTCCCACTCTGTTGGACATTTCTAGACCAATAGAATTTTCTGCAGTGATGGCTGTCTAATCTATGCTGTCTGATATGGTAGCCAGTAGACATGTGGCTGTTAAGCACTTGAAATGTGTCTAATGCCACTGGTGAACTGAATTTTTAAATTTGAGTCGCCACTTGTGGCTAGTTAGTGGCTACCTTGTTGGACAGCTCTGCTTAGAAGTGTAGATCTTCTGATCATAAGCAAACATTAAAAATGCAGGCTCTACTCCAGATCCTCAGAATCGATATTTTAATAAGATGTCCAAGTGATTTATAGGCCTATTAAATTTTGAGAAGTAATATCGTAAATTTTGGGGAGAGGACAGGCATTGGTGGGGGCTTGTTTTTTGTTTTAATCATCTCTGCCCTCTGGGTGGCAGCATTTCCTGTCATGTAGAGAAGATGAAAAGGTGCTTTTGCCTGACTCTTCTCCATTACTGGCCTTGTTTTGCAGTGGGATTTTTAAGCATGAAATATTGTTGGGGACCCAGTTTGAGTGGGGGTGGGGGACAAGGTAATTATGTATGAGAGCAACTTGGTACAAAGGCACTGCTTGTGAAACCATAGCTAGGTGATAATGTACTAGCAGAAGAGTGGCCCATATTAACATAGTATAGTTAGAGAATAGAACCACGAAAGATCTCTTCAGCCCAGGATCCTACTCAGAACTACCTGTGATAACATTTAATATTTGGTTGATGAATTATAGCCAAATAACTGAAGAAATGTGGCGATTTCTGATTGCTGCATAAATCAAGTATGGACATATAGCAGATTAAAAGCTATTAAAGTTGTTTCAGTTGGTGAAATGGAATGAAATTTCTTTTTGTAGCATTTAAAAATTGCTATTTTAAAATAGATGGGTATAAAGGTACAAGTGAATTGGAAGGAAAGTCTTGGCAGGTCATTAAAGTTGTGATCTGTGATACTGTTGTTTGCATATATTCAGACAAATATTTGTTAATAGCTTCTCAATAGGTTTGGCATGGACAAGATCTATGAAGGTCAAGTGGAGGTGACTGGAGATGAATACAACGTGGAAAGCATTGATGGTCAACCTGGTGCCTTTACCTGCTATTTGGATGCAGGGCTTGCCAGAACTACTACTGGAAATAAAGTTTTTGGGGCCCTGAAGGGAGCTGTGGACGGAGGCTTGTCTATCCCTCACAGGTAATACAGTATTCAAGGCCTCATTGCCTGGTAGCCAGTACTTCACTGTTTCTAACTGGTTGGACTGTGGAGATTACTGAATCAATTAAAGTAATAATAGGTATATCATTGTGTGCCTGCTGTATGCTAGGTACTATGGAAAAGGAACCTGGCAGGGCCAGAGGGAATTGGTAATGGATTTTATAAGTAAAGAGACTGGTTGAGAGGTAAAAAGTGGTTTGTCCAAGGTTTTGAAGCCAATAAGTGGGAAAGCCAGGCTTGAAACCACTATACCTTTTGTGTGTGACTTAGTTGTGGCTAGAAACAAGCAACTTGGTTTCACCACCACTCCTTCTCCTCCAATGCATTTTTTTCATTCAGAAAGAAAATTGCTTAACTGAGTTATGGAAAAATGGACTCCAGGAAAAAAGTTTGAGAAAAAGGCTTCTGACAGATTTCTAAACTTTCAACTGGAAATAAGATTGTAGGCCGTTCATTCTTAGAAGCTAAGTAGGTTGTTTTAATTTGGTTGGTCCTTTGAATTAATGATGTTTGTTGTTGAGTAGAGCCATCGTAGTGAGTTGTTAGCTTCTTAGGAATGTTTAGTGGTTGGTGATTTAACAACTGTACATATATATTTTTTAATATATTTTATTTCAATGTATAAATAAAACGTATCTAACTGGAACTTACTCTAATAATGTGAGGGTGGGGTTAAGGAACAGTAGTTTTGTTGAAAGGCACCTGTGTGATCTTGAATGAAGCACTCCCATGTATCCTGAGGCACCACTGAAATTCTAGGATTTGCGGGGAGCAGTTTTAAATCCCTTTTTCTATGATAATGAGAACTAACTTCATAGTGAAAAGCCTTGCTTTATTTAGTGGTTTTTAAAGGTGCTTGTGGCATGATTGTCTTGTGGAATTCAGAGATTAGCTGCTGAATGATGATACATCCCACTAACTGAGCAGTCAGTAGTTGGTCCTTTGGTTGCATATGATGCAATTAATTGTTTCAAGACGGGACTGATGGCAGCTACTGAAATGAATTCCTGCTAGTGAACTGGTTTCAATCAATATATACTAAAGTATGAAAAACTTTATTTTAGTACCAAACGATTCCCTGGTTATGATTCAGAAAGCAAGGAATTCAATGCAGAAGTACATCGGAAACACATCATGGGTCAGAATGTTGCAGATTATATGCGTTATCTAATGGAAGAAGATGAAGACGCTTACAAGAAACAATTCTCTCAGTACATAAAGAACAACGTAACTCCAGACATGGTAAAAATTTTAACTAAAAATACCTGTATTGGTATTTATACCTATAGAACTCGGTTTACTACTTGTTTTTGGTGGGTATGTTTTATAGTTTTAACTCAGGTTAACAGTTAAAAGTTGAATGTGGGCGTGTTCATAGCTGTAGACAGATTCAAATAAGCTGTCCTTGGCTTATAAAATGAAATGACATGAAATTGGGATGTTGGACCTAGGGTAGGTTAAAGGATAAGGCAGTATGAGCTAGACTTATCAACTTGCTTTTAGGATGCTGAAGGATGGCAGATTTCAAGCATCCACATCTAAAGCCTTCAGTGGCTTTTATGCATTTGACTGTTGTGTAGTTAAAGATTTCATTCATTTGGTCATAGTTACAATCTACTCTGTCTGATATGACGTGCTAGTTACTAAACTTATTTTGAGGTCATGGGGAAGAAGGGTTCTTTCTTCATAGCAAATTAACTATGTTCTGGACTTTCTGAATGTCTCAGGCAGGCATACAGAAAGGGAGATGTACAGATGTTATGACTAGTTCTGCATGATACTGAAGAAGTAAAGGCACCCATGTTTGCAAAAATGAGTTTAATGTTGGAAAATTTATCACCCCTAAAGTTGAGTCTCCGGGGCTACCTCTCTTAACACATTGTAGAAATTGAAGATGATTAGTTTTGAAATCATAGCGAAAGCATAGAACACAAATCACAGTGTTATAAAACTATTAGAAATATAGAATTATGTATAGATGGATGCATTAAGTAATTTTTTTGTTGTCGTTAGTGCATAGTTTCTATTTTGATGCTGCTTTGGCTATGAAAATTAATTTTAAAATAGAGTTTTGATTGGGAAAAGATTATTTTGTTATTTATGCTTAGTACATAGTCTAGGACTGGATAAGCAGATTGAGTTTTGAGCTAGGAAAAGGGTAGTGTTACATTAGTAATGTAGATGCATGTTAATTTTTGAAGTCTTCAAATGGATTTGTTAAATACGATGGAGAGCTGTAATAGAGTGCTAAAAGTTGGTAGAGAAATTCAACTTGCCAAAGGGATTTAGGTAGTTGTCTCAAATGCAGTGAAAAATTTTTCGTTGTTGTCTTTGCTAAGCTTGACACAAATGCGTGTAGTAATTGCATGTTCTTCACATTGAATACTTTGAGAGACCTGGATTACCTCACTCATTCTTTAGGGGGCTGTAACTTTTACTAGATTTTGATTAAATGCTCAGGCATTTTACTACAGCTGCTCTTCAAGACTTGATCTTGCACAAGATCCAAGTCATTTACAGTTGCCCCTTGGACAACCTGAGGTTAAGGAGCACCCAACCCCCCACCCCCACCCATCCCCAGCAATTGAAAATTCACATATAACTTGTGACTCCCCCAAAACTAACTACATTTGTCCCTTGGAATCCACAGGAGATTGCTTCCACGTCCCTTTGTAGATTGCAAGTACTGTTTTCAATTCACGGATGCAAAATGCGGGGCGGGGGGGGGAGTACAGGGGGCCAACTGTATATTTATTGGAAAAAAAACACCTGTAAGTGAACCTGGGCAGTTCAAACCCATGTTTAAGGGTAGATTGTATTTGAGGGTGGTAATTGAAACAATTCAGAGTTGTAACATTGTTTTTTGATCAGTTTTAGAACACAGTTCTCATGAAGATACCTAATTGGATGACCTTTCAGGGTATTCTAGGGAAATTCGGACCTCTTTCTGGTTGATACTAGCGACTAGTAGTAGTAGATGATATAAGAGGTCCCTGGTATGTAATACTGTGGTTAGCCTAGAAAGACCTATCAGATACCAGTGGAAAATGTAAATGTGGGGAATGGGGGAGGACAAATTCATTTGGAAATTGCTTCTTGGCCCCCTTACACTCTTCATCGTAACATCTTAAAAACTTTGTTTTGGTGTGTATCCATCCTTGAGTGAAAGAATTTAGGTCAGACAATATTTTAAATGACTATAAAATGTATGTTGGCAGAAATCAATTTGCTCTAAACTTGAGTGACTTAAAGATTATAGCCAAAGTCTTCAGAAATGAATGAAAATTTTTCTTGAGGAAGATTCAGTTTTGTAAGTAATGTCAACTCATGTTGCCTATGGTAAAAATTGGGAATTTCTTAGGAAAGGAAATTTAGAAATTTAAGTAGGTACCAACACTGGCCTAGTTTAGTACCTTTTGAGGATCTGGCTTAGGACAAAATAAAGCAAGTAGTAGATTACAGTATATTGTATTGTTTAGGGCATGTGAAATGAAACCAAGTACTGTTTGCTTTGCTTTGTTTCAGATGGAGGAGATGTATAAAAAAGCTCATGTTGCTATACGAGAGAATCCAGTCTATGAGAAGAAGCCCAAGAGAGAAGTTAAAAAGAAGAGGTATGCATCTTATTTTGTCTTTTCAAGAGAAAGCGGTTGTGAGGGGTTCCCTGCCTTTTGTCTTCTTACTCAGACTCTTAATGTTGTGCAAACTCGATCACTAACTCTGCATGATGTTGCAGAAGTGAGGGGAACCAGGTTTGCAAAAGTATTTGTGGTGATAGAAATGTATTAGCCTCAGAAGCTACTGAGGTGGCCCATTCTATCCTAGTACAGTTACTGCTAATACTTAATGATTCTAAGCATTGTATTAACATGTTTATTTGATTTGGGCGCCAGTGTGGTATTGGACAGTATCACAAAAAGTTGGGGTTTGGGAATGTTAGCTTAAAATCATAAATAAGTACATGTATTGGAACTTGGGTTACTTGACCTTATCTTATTACAAAGTGTCTATCCTCTTTAGCTATGGTTTTTAAAAATAACATTTCCTGGGGGATGATCGGTTAGCTCAGTTGGTTAGAGCGTGGTGCTGATAATAGCAAGGTTGCGGGTTTGATCCCCGCATGGGCCATTGTGAGCTTCACCCTCCTTAAAAAAAAAGTCAACGCCAATGACCATGGCGTTCCCCAATAAAAAAAATTTTTTAAAAATCAGCTTTAAAGAAAGAAAGAAAAATAACATTCCTGTCTCTGTTTTGTAGGTGGAACCGTCCCAAAATGTCGCTTGCCCAGAAGAAAGATCGGGTAGCGCAGAAGAATGCAAGCTTCCTCAGAGCTCAGGAACGGGCTGCTGAGAGCTAATAAACCAAACAGTTTTCTATGAAGATTTTTCATTATAGACAATAATAAAGTTATTAAGCAACTATTTGTGTTACACTCTTGTTAATGAATCTGGAGGAAATACCTTGAAATTAACCATATTTTTCTTCAAGAAACAAATATAGCTTTTTCCAGAAAAAGATTACTTGCATATTTGACTCATTGGGCTTCTGTTCTCCCTGATAGGAGTTATCCCTCAAATTGTATGATGTGCAGCTCTCCCTAAACAGTCTGGCAACTACTAGGCAACACCAACCTCTACTAGGAAACACTTCTTTCATTTATTGTAGCAGATGATTAATGGGGAAAAAAAGCTACCTTCAAAATTATAATTTTAAAGTAAACAAAACTGGTGCTAATCAGTGGCTTTCATTTTTGTGAGAAAGCTGTCCAGTGAAGGTCACATAGCTAAGATACTTTAACCGGGTGAAATCTTTGAGCAGGATATACTGGGTCTTTATTCTAAAATAGGTTTTCAAACAGCTCAACCTGGAGCTGGGCTGCTGTGAGTTGCGGGTGACGGGGTAGGCTGCAGTGGGTCTGGCCGACAGCAGGCATGAGCCAGCCATTCAAAGGCCAGCGAGCGACTGCCTCACCTGGGAAGAGCGCAATGATAATAACAACATGGGCCAGTGAAGTGATGTTCTCCACAACTACATTGAAGAACAAAAGGACAGCAACTTGTCTGTTCCGATTCCCCAATAAAATCGTAAAACAAAACAGGTATTCAATTTTAGGGAGATATTGAAAGGTATGTGCGAGATCTGAATAAACGAAAGCTCAGAAGCAAATAACCCTTGTATATCAAGTTTACATGAGAAAATATTGGATAAATTTACATGCCTCTTAAATAGCCCTTTGGCCAACAGGAAATACAGTTTGAAAATGGAAAATTATCACTAAAATTTTACAATTTCAGAGTCCTGCTGTTTATGTCCCACTTCCCCATAACTCAAATCTTGCACTTAAGATATGTGGATCTGGACTGAGTCTATCGTCTTAAGATGAGTTTTAAAGGACCTAGTTGGCTGGTTGATTCTAAGATGGCTGTTTGAATCAAATGATGAAAACATCCATTTTCAACCTCTAAAATTGGCAAGGACACTGCCCTGACTTTTATATGTAATATTTTATATATATAAAATCATTTTCTTGTAAACAGAGCCAAGGATTATAGTATTTTGTTATATTTGTGGTATGTTTCTGATGCATTTCATGACTATATCAAGAAAACTTCCATTCTGCAATTTTTCAGCCCCAGAGAGATTTTTTAGGGAAGAAACAATTAGTTGTACCACTTTTAACCTTATTGACTGTGCAGAATTATAGTATATCTTCATGTACATGACCTTTCTCTCCAGATATGTAAAAGCTTCAGAGGGCTGAGATGCTACCCTGTTCTTTCTGCCTACCTCAGTTTATTTTCTTACCTTAAAGATCCTAGACACAAGGAAAAGGTATGTTTGTATTAGATGATTAAATATAGATGGACCCCTTTTTAGTCAGTTACTCTTATTTTTACACACCTTTAACTTTTTTGAAAATAGATTTATACCCTGACTTTTAAAAGGCTTAGTAAGAGCCACTCAACATTGTGAAGCCAGGTAACATTTGATGTCTTAAATGAATTAAAATGTGCTTATAGTACAACAAACCATACTGTTAACCAACATCTGTTTATAAAGGAGTGATTTAATTTACCTGCTTTGCAGTCAATTTCTGTTAATGTGCAAACTTGACCATGCTAACACATTAGTAAATTAATGTATAAATTTTCTCTTAAACAGCAGCTTCAATGCAAACACTATATTTCCAGCAATGGTATTTTGGCTAACAAATCTACAAAATACTCTCACTGTTGATGTTTATGGAATGAGACTTTTCACAGCATTATTTTAAGTCAGTTAAAATAGTTACACAGTGAATGTACTGGGAAATGTACCAGGGCTTCTAAAAGAGCAGGAATGAAACCTTTTGGACGTGTTAATTCTATGAATCTCCTGCCATTACTTCAGCAATTGATAACGTATTTTACGATGATGACTTCTTAGGACCAGGGGAAAGGAGTTTTGTGTAACTGGCAGAGATTTGAATCAGAAGCCAATTTCTTTTTCTTTTTCAGTGGTAAGTTTTCTACGATGGTCACAATGTCCAAATGAACTAAGAGTCATTTGTGTAGGAAATTTTCTTCCACAGTAATGTTTTTAGGTTATTTAGTATCAAAGAGTGTTCCATTTCCATTTGATTTGCTGTTACTTTGAGAGCAATACAAGAATAAAGTTGCTTTTCTAATTCTTCACGAATTTCACTTGGAGCACCGCGAAGTAGGTAGTCTTTGAGTAACTGACAGGCTTTTGCCAAATTTGGTTGTATCACTTCTGAAGTACATTTCATTGTACTCTGGTCACAGCTAGTTCGACAATCCGTGCCATAGACACAGTCCAAATCAGACTCACAGTGACGATCCTTTATAAGTTCTTTCAGGTTTGTCTCTGGCACAATTTTTCTCATGTCCACCATTTTCAAATCATACTTATCATTATAACCTAGATTTTTGGCACTAGTATCACACATCAGGAAGTTTCCATAGGGGCCGTGGAAAACATCTTCCACAAATTCTAGAAGTCCTATGGCTATTTTAGCCTTTCTGGGCCATGATGGTGTAAACAACTGATCCATGCTTCTTCTGAACCCAGATGGAATAAAAAGTTCAATGACCCATGGAAGGCTTATTCCATAAAGAGAGGTATATTCGACACTTTCCATTACATAAAGATCACCACAGAAGCCCATTAATTTGGGTGTATGTTCCTTATCTTGAAGTATCACCATGAGAAGAAATTCATTTAATTGAAGAAGTGCCCATGCTGACTTTGCTTCTCCCAAGGAAACCTGACCATCTTTGTCTCCATCAGCCACCGTCAAGATGAGATTAACCAGGTCAGAGAGGTTTCCTTGGTCACCCAATTTTGCCTGTAAAGATAAGAATTTAGCTAATTATACAGAAGGAATGAAAATATGTAACATACTAACTTCCTTTATTAGCATGCTAAGTAATCTTGCTACTGAATCTCCATAAGGAACTTACCGTATTTCCCCATGTATAAGACGCACCTTAATTTTGGGGCCCGAAATTTGAAAAAAAAAATATATTACATAAAGTCATTGAACTCAAGTTTTATTCATCATAAAATTCATACAGCTCATCACTGTCAACACTCCCAACCATTAGCTTGTCCTCATCTGTGTCTGATGACAAATCACCCAATTGCCCTTTGCTCTTCAATCCATATTTTCAATTCCCTCTCTAAATCAGGCCATTTTGCTGGCTTGCCTCTCATGGCCTTCTGCCGTGGAGTTTTCAGTAGGGTTTCTTCTTCCCGTAGCCAGTCTCAGATTGTTTTCTCAGTAGGAGGAGGACCAAACTTACGTTCAGCAGCACAATTTCCATTCACTTTTGCAAACTGGATCACTTTTAACTTGAATTCAGCACTGTACGAAAATCTTTTCTGAGCCATTTCTGGGCAGAACGTGGCAAAACGTAACCTACCGTAATATACCAGTAACAAGTGCGAAACAATGAGCGCAAAGACAACAAGCACGAAAACCTGGAAATGCAAGTTAAAAAATCTACAACAATGAGCGCAAAAAAAAGCATGAAAAAAGTGGGAAATGCAAGTAAAAAAATCTACAACCACTGTATAAGACTCATCCAGTTTTTAGACCCTAAATTTTTCAAAAAAGGGTGTGTCTTATATATGGAGAAATACGGTAATACATCTCCAAATATTTATGATGTTTGCTAAGTGAGTCAGAGCTGTTTTATGTAATTGCAGTAAAACTCACCTGGCCAAGTATATTTGTTTATTAAGAGATGGCCACTCTAAGTTCTGTAACTCCCTTACACTGGATAAATACAGTTAACCAAGGCAGTCATTATTCTTTGTCTTATTTGTTAACTTGCAAAATTGCAGTGTAATGTGCGCATATCCAGAGAGTCAACTGAAAATTATTTTCTATTTTGTATTTATCACATTAACAGAATTATTTGCTTCAAGTTGTATTGTTCCAATAATGAAGGTTAAAAAGGATTTCCCTGTGAAGTTTCTCTGGGATAAAATAATCTGAAAATATAAACTGGCTAAAGAAAAGAAAGATTATGAATGAAAATAGAAGAGCAACAAAAATGAGAAAAAGATTCTTTCCAAAAGTGTCATTATTTTCATCTTAATATTTCTATTAAATCTTTGAGTATTTCTTTAAATTAAAAATAATTTGCAATCAGGGTGTACTAATTTTATTTCACCTTTTAAAAATTGTGTATTAGTTACATTGTCAAACTATAGAGCAGCTCATCTCATCTATTTAATGAACTCCCCTCTCATATCTGAACATTTTTTAGCTTTTACAATGTTAAAGTAAACATCTACAAATTTTTTCTTTTCTTTGAATTATTTCCTCAGGAGAGAGTCCCTGATACAGGACAAAACACTTTTTGTGGTTTAGGATGAGGTCCTGCCAATTCTTCCAGAAGAGTGTACTGCTTCACACTAGCAACATGTTAATGCATATACTTACTTTAAAGAGACTGTAGACCATTTCCTTGAATTTCTGTACAGTAGTTCCTCTAGTTGGTTTATCAAATAGCACTATTTCTTTTCTTGGTTCCAATTCAGTTCCAAAATCAAGATGAAGTGCTTGTTCCATTTGACATTTCACAACCCCTGGTAGATTATCCCAAATCCCTAAATACATCTATGTGAAAAAGAATGGCAAGTTATGATTTAGGCTGAATAGAAAACTATATCGCTGTATTTTTGTGTCCTCTATCAAAACACAAACAAGCAACAAAACATTGAGATTGACTGTGACTTTCTTTTTGAACTGCAAATTTGAAATCATACTCCAAAGCAAAATTTTTTAACTTTTTAAATTATAAAAGTAATGTATTCCTAAATACATATTTTTGACCAGGATCATCTATTTTGTCCATTATTGTGGTAAAATATCAAATACATAAAGTTTACCATTTTAACCATTCTTAGT